TATAATAATACGGTACATTCTTCCACGCAACAAACACCTTTCTTTGCCAATTATGGCTATCATCCACGACTTGATACTTTTGATTTTTCAAAAGTTGATAATCCTGCAGCAGAAGATATGGCAAATCGGTTGTCAGAGTTACATGCAATAATGAAGACACAATTGAAGAAAGCTCAAGAACGACAAAAGATAAACGCAGATCTATATCGTAAGGAGCAACCACAAATCAACGTGGGTGATAAGGTATGGCTACTTCGTCGCAATATCAAGACTACTCGACCTTGTGACAAGTTGGACTATCGTAGGCTTGGCCCCTTTTTTGTCTCTGAACAGATCAACCCAGTTGCTTATCGATTACATCTACCGGAGTCAATGAAGATCCATCCTATATTCCATGTATCTCTTCTTGAACCATATAAGATAGTGGATATACAAGGAAGAAGACAAATGCCACCGCCTCCTATAGAAGTAGATAATAATGAAGAATTTGAGGTGGAAGAGATATTAGACTCAAGGCGGCGCCGAAATAAGCTGGAATATCTTGTTCATTGGCGCGGATATGATATTAGTGAGCGCACATGGGAGCCATCCAGGAATCTAGCAAATGCATCAGCTAAAGTCAAAGTTTTTCATCAATGACATCCATCAAAACCAAGATGAAAATCTCTCTTATAAAAGAGACAAGATTGAGGTAAGATAACATTCAATTTCCTATTCTTGTTTGTAACTTCTTTACATTTGTGATGCTAATTAGATGGAGAGCCAACAACCAGCGGATTCAACTCAAGAACCTTCGTTTGCTGACCTGTCGGACGAGACATTACGATTGTCACAACCTTCAAGACGACGCAATCGAGATGAAGATCTTCAAGAACGACATATTCTTCCTCGAACAGATGGTGAGATACAACGCGTTTGGTATCATGATTTAGGAAGGGACTCCCGATGTTTGGTGATTTTGCTAGAGGTGGGAACAACTCCTGATGGTGTTCCGAATATTCTATTCGAAGGAAGTTATGAAGGCCTCAATAATGATCAAATAACTGGGTGGTCTTCCCACCCTGGTATGGGACACTACCGATGGTTGAGAAGCCCTATCAATCATCTTCGAAGAGAACAGAGATCAGAGTATGTGGCGAATACAATTCGTCGCATCATAGATTTCCTCAACATATGATGACCGCTCCTCGTGGAACTCGTCTCTAGAAGGGGGGGTAATGTCACGGCCATAATCATGTAAGCTAATAATTACATATAGAAATAGGTAGAAGTAAGTAAAAGTAGATAAAAGTAAGTTAATTATATAATATTTAATATAAAAGCTTCCTAGAAACTTCCTAGACGCTGCTTTGACTTCATAGGTGTCTTTAATTGACTTTTTGGATTAGAAACGTGGTCAACAAGTTGGCCATGTGCCACACATGTTGTTAGCTTGAAGATCAATCTAACTATGTGACCCACACGTAGAAAAACTTGCCTTGTAAGTCAAGGCATGTGTCTTACAAAGTCAACACATATTGGAGGTCCTATAGAACGTCGCCACGTAGCCTCTAGTTAGATAGTATATATAGAGACAAGAGTGAAGGCTTCTTCACTCTTGTCAACTCCTTTCTTGCTTCTAGTCCAGGTTCAAGAGTCTTTAGTTTCTTGTCTTGTGGCAATAGCCATTCCAGTTTCCTTTTAATATACCTACTTGTTTATATTTTGACTTATTATATCGAGATAGCCTTTTGGTGTATATTTTTCCTCATCGAGTCTTTGTCCTTGACAATATAATTGATTATTTGTGATTAACAAGATTACCAATTATTTTTCAAATACTTTGATTGTTACAAAAAAACATGATAGGATTTGATGTGAAGCAATGAATTTTTGTTGAAAGTATGTAAAGCCATATGACTTTGCAGATTCTCTCCAAAAGTGCCTTGGCTTTGGTATCAATGGAAGAAATGGCTATTGTCTCTTATTTTTAGGAAGACCACAAGATGGAACCTCTTGTGGATTTAAAGATCCATCTTGTAATGGACTTTCTATCAATTTGATAATTTTCTTAGTCTGAGTTGGTGTAGCTAATGATTGTTGGGCTCACATGTTTCTTATAGAAGATTCTAAGTTCGAGAGCATTCTTGATATAGAAGAGCACTTGATTAATAACCTCTAGAAGTGGTGTTTTAGGACTATGCATGAATCGGCTCAATTCTTTACTTACAAAGAATAATTTAGATTTAATATTAATAAGATAGATTAATATTTTGACAAGATGCTAGAAGAGTTTTGCATTAATACTTGATAAGTCTTTCTTTAATTTCATCTTAATCTTTTGACTATGGGCATGGTTGTTGGTATATATTCTATTATGTTAAATTCTTTTAGGATTTGCAAACAATACAATTTTTTTAGTAAGAAGATGCCATTTGGACTTTGAATGAATTATATGCTTAAATATAGAGCTATATTGTCTAGGTCAGTCATCTCAAATTTCTCCATAAGTTGTTTCTTGAGATGATTAATTTGGTTTGGATTTAGACCAATGTGTACTTATTGATATACAAAAGTGATATTGTCTAGCAAGCAAACAAAAGATTGTTTGGTTTAGATAAGTTGAACTTATTTCTAAATGAGTGATTGTTGAATGGTTTCATGATTTAAGAAAATGTATGTGCTATTGTGGTTTAGTGGTTTAGTAAGCTTAGAGTTAGCTGTTAGTAGAGTTGAATCATATATGGATGTTGTAGTAGATGGAGTATTCTCCATTACTAGTTGATGACGCTTAAAGATTTAGGTATCTTGTGCTCTTTAGTTTCCAATTTGGATACAAAATTATCAATGAAAGCAATAGCTAAATGGAGTATGTTGGACTCGTCAAATCAAATATTTTTGGTTATTATAATCTTGTGATCATGTGATAACCTGATCTAATATCTTTTGCTCTGGTTTTCATATCCTACTAGTAGTCTTATTTTGAATTTTTTCTTAAGTCTGTTGCAGTCTTTATTTCAATCTACACATGAGCATAAGATCCTTAAATATAGAAGAAGGATAAATTCGGTTTTTTTTAAATAAATATTGAAAAGAGATGAGTTAGATGGAGATGACAATTGTGAGTATTTGATTGAGGAGAAACATTGCTAAATTTATTGATTTTGTCTACAAAAACTTTGAAGTTATTACTTTGAGTACCATACATTTTATTGTTTTGAGGAGCTTGTAATTAGTATGTGCTATAACATTGTTTTGCTCTGAGGTTCTTGTATTTGTGAATTGGTCTTAGATTCCAATTGAATTCTAAAGTGCTATAAAGACTTTGAATAAAAACTCACCTTTGTGGTTGAATCTCATTGTTTGGATTTTTTTTATTAAGCTATAATTCAATCATGAGTTCAAATATTTTGAATTGCTAAAATGTGGAAGATTTTTCTTTGAAAAACATATCTATATATAATGATTGTAGTCGTCTAGAATGACATAGATGTACTTTGATCCACATATGAAGAGAATTGATATTGGCATGTATAAATCCATGTATAACAATTTGAGTGGTTTAGTCATATTGGATGTGTTTTGGCAAGGAAAACTATCTTGAACTTACTTTCTAACTTGGCATTTTGTACAAACCTTGTTGTGAATAGGTATGTATGAGATTTTTTTTGCCATAACTTTGGCTATGAGCTTGTGTAGGTGATGAAATCTAATGTGCCATAACTAGAAATGCTAGGATTTGATTGTATCTATTTTTATATGTATTAGCACTATTATAATATCATGGATATAGATTGCTAATTGATAGGGTTAATAATACTATTTTTGTATATCCTCCATAATAATTTGTTTGCTGTATTTATTATATAAGATGCATTTGTGATCATCAAATCATACTATCATGCCTTTGTTTGTTAATGAATCAATCAACAATAAGTTTTTCTTCAAGCTAGGTACATAAAAAAATACTAGAGATATTTTTTATTTTTTCAAATGGCAATAAAAAATAGACAGTTTCTCATCTAGAGATCACATAGCTTTGTCTACCAATAGTTTTAAGACTACTATTATATTTCTTTAATATAGAGAAAATATGTCAATTACTACTAATATATTGAGTATTTTTCAAATCTAGATACCATCTAAAATTGAGGCTAATTAGATCTAAAGAAAAAAAAAGTAATTTTGAACATTTTGTAATTGCCATTATCTAATGATTATATTGATTCAATAACTTTGTAAGTATCAAATGCTGGCCACTTCAAATCTTTGTTGACTATATTAGTCAAATATTGTGAACTAAGTTTAATTCATCCTTTTGCCTTGAGCATAAGAATGTTTGTAAGTCCTTTAAGACACATATCCTTGGGATGGCCGTGGCATCAATAATAAAAGCATTGAATGGTTTGATATGTATACCAAAAATTTGATGTTTGAGATTGAGTTTTGTGATAGTATTGAGAATGCAATTATTGATATCAACTTTATTCTCCACTTTAGCAATGATATTCACTTTTCCAAAAATAGAGCACTTTAGTGTGTGTACATTGAACTACAATTGATATTTGATTGTTAGTTTTATATTATCTTTTATTTTCTTCAAGAATAAATTGTACTTTTAGTTGATTAAGCCTTAGGAAGCTACCCAAGCTTGTATAATTTTGCACTCAATAATCATAGCTATTAGGCAAACATTTCATGGACTATAATAGATCAAACTAGTGAGCTTGACTTCTTTCAAGACAATGTTATCCCTTCACATGCTTTTAGAATTATTCACTAATATATGAAACAAAACTAAGAACGAAAGGACAACAACTGCTCTATCTAACATTGGATAAGTGTTTAGCTAACAATTTGGTTGCATTTCATAGTTTTTGCATACATAGAAGCATAGAAAGGATAAGCAACATAAGATGCAACTAAGTTTCAAAACTATGCTCTAATACCATGTTCATAGGATAATAAAAACAATACTTACATTCTTCTCAAACTATAATGACTTTATTATTCCAACACTTGGACACATATACAACAGCCGTATAGTATAAATGTAGTCCTAAAAATATACATACAACGATGTCTATTGAGGTGATCAGACCATCGTTAACACCAACAAAACCCTCCGAGTTGAGACTGTCCGATGAAGTCCTTCACTGTCCTTGTCCTCAGGCTTCCTTGTCACACGTGTGGTAAACAGTACACAGGGGTGCAGCTGTAACTAGACAAACAACAAATTCTCCAAGTTATCACAATTCCAACTTAACTCCGGAGTCCACAGGCCGACGTGAACCCACCGATCGCAACTTCAATCGACGCTTCATGCCCTGAAACGCAATCCATAAACCCAGTGAGCCCGTCGATGCGGAAGGGGACAAAAGATCTCGTCACTCGAGGGGAAAGCAAAAGCACATGAGCTCCGCAGCCAGCCTATGTGCGCCTGTTGGAGGCACACTCTTGCGGCCAATCCAGACGCGAGGAACAGGCGGTGCTAGAATGCCTCCGTGGTGCCTCCAAAACGACCGAAATGTGGAGGGAGTGCAGTCTGATGCACCACGTCGGCATCGATGCTGTGCTTCCTCCTGGCGTCTGCCCTGGCTCTCTACCATCCAGAGGCACTCGCCAAGATGCGCTTTACTCCACATATCCGCGGACGTGGATGTATTCCTCGCCCAACGCCCTCACTTTTGCGGATGTTTTCGATGCATCGCCACATGCCATCTACTTGCGCCCCCCCATCTCCATCCTGCCCTGTCGCGCGCTGCAGCTTGCAACTGGCCGCTCCCTCCGCATGATCATCTGCGGCAACCCTACCAGGGCTTCCTCAGATTCTCCCACTGGCACTTGCATATAAACTCAGGCGCTCCGCCTCCAGTTGTCAGAAGCGCAACATTCATCAACCTTCCAGCAGGTGGAGAACTAATCAGATCGACAACCATTCATACTTCGCAGTTCAGTGGCCTGCCTCTGCTGTATCTCGCATTATCTTCAGTCTTCGCGCGATTTCGGAAGCCGATTGATTACATCTCGTATTTGCCAGTAGAACAGGACAATGGCCGCCACGATGTCTCAGATGTCTGCTGCTGCTCCCATGGCCGGCGGTCTCATGGCCCTGACTCCATCCTCCACGAAGCTGTCCAGCGCTGCTTCCCGTGTGGTGGCCCGACCCAGACTGGGCGCGTCGCTGGCGGGGCGAGTTCGATGCGAGGCGGGCAAGGGCCTGCGGGAGACCATCGATGAGAGCACGAAGAAGGAAATCACGGAGGGCGAGATCCTGAAGAACATGGAGACCAACGAGTCCGAGCAGCGTTCCTACTTCGGCGCCAAGCCCACTCCCGGGTTCGACCAGGCAGTGGGGTTCACCCCCCGCCCGGAGATCGAGAGGCGGCCCGAGACCAGCGACAAGTCCTTCTTCAGCGTGTTCGCGTTCGACGGGGCCGCCCCGGAGACCATCAACTGCCGACTGGCGATGTTGGGCATGGTGTGGGCGTTCTTCGCGGAGAAGGCGACGGGGCTGACAGTAGCACAGCAGCTATTCAACCCCACCACAAGCGGGCTTGTGTATTTCGTGGGCGCGGTGCAGTTATTCACGTACGCATCGCTGGTGCCGATCATGAACGGCGAGTCGACGGATGCTCGCAGCTTCGGGCCGTTCACGGCGCGAGCTGAGCGATGGAACGGGCGTCTAGCAATGCTAGGATTCCTGTCGCTAGTGGTCACGGAGCTGATCCGCGGAGCTCCCGTGTTCCACTAAATGGATGCACATATGTCGGTAGGCGTGGAGAGAACAAAGGCAGTGAATTGCATCGCCGTGGGGTGGCTGCGTGTGTATGATACGGTGCCGAAGTTGTGGAATTGAGTGTACAGTTTGGAGCTAGGATGAGAGAGAGAGAGCTCAGGGATAGGTATGTGGGAGGCGAGGAGGATCGGTTTTGAAGGACCATGGAAGGATGTACAGTGTATTGTTGAGATGACGACGAGTGTGAGTAATTGGAGATGATGATTTTGAGAAACATGGTTTGTGTGAAGTGCGGATGTGCATGCAGTGGTGGTGTCAGTGCGGCGATCGTCGTGTGAATGGGGTTTCAGCTTTGCTTCATGAATGGTTGGATTTCAGGGCCTCGGAGGGGACGGCCATCGTGCGGCGTGAGGGTGCGCGGATGTTTGAAAGACAATGCAGTGAATGGGAAACGGAGTTGAGTCGAATTGAGTTGTGTCTTAGCAGCGTGGTGGGTGTGTGAAATGAAATGTGTAGTGATGTGAGTTTAATAGTGTGTTTTGATTTGCTGCATTGAGAGTGTTTGAATAGTAGACGTATTCTTTTTTGCAGTTGAGTGTTGTATGAATTTTGTTTTTTATTTTATTTTTTATATATTAATACTAATATGAATAAATATTTGTGTATGTATTTGGTTAAAAACTTCATATGCCATTTTAAATCTCCAACTAAAGCTTCTATAATTGTGAAGAAAAAAGACGGATATTTATTTGTGAAGAAAAAAGATGGATATCTATGGATGTATGTGGACTATTGAAGATTCAATAAGATCACCATCAAAAATAGGTATCTTCTACCTTTAATTTCAAGACTTCATGATCAATCCAATGAAGAAAATATTTACAAAAATAGATCTATGAAGAGCATAAAACCTAATGTCACGGACATACATATAATTACCTATATGAATAGATAAAAGTATGTAAAAGTAGATAAAAGTAGGTTAATTGTGTAATATCTTCTAGACAAGCTTCTTAGAAGCTTCATAGACGCTGCTTTGACTTTATAGGAGTCTATAGTTGACTTTTAGGTTAGAAACTTGGTCAACAAGTTAGCCATGTGCCACACATGTTGGAAGCTTAAAGAACAAGCTAACTACGTGGTCCATCCATAGAAAACTTGCCTTGCAAGCAAAGGCATGTGGCCTAGAAAGTCAACATATATTGGAGGTCTTATAGAACATCGCCACGTGGCTTCTAGTTAGATAGTATATATAGAGGCAAGAGTGAAGCCCTCTTCACTCTTGTCAACTCCTTTCTTGCTTCTAGTCTAGTTTCAAGGGTCTCTAGTTTTCTTGTATTTTGGCAATAGCCATTCCAGTTTCTTTCTTAATATACATATTTCTATTTTGCCCTATTTCTTTTTGAGAAAAGTCTCACTTACTCTTTAGCTTTCATCGAGTTCTTGTCCTTGACAGATTGACAAGAGTACACTTACAATATCAGAGCTTTGTCTTTTCTTGATTAAGAGTGGATTACCCCTTTTTCTTGATAAGACATAAGCGCATTAGAAGTTGCGGATTACCCTCTTTTAAACTGATATTGTTCTTAGTATTTTCTTTGTTATCAATTCCTCTCTTCTATTTGTTTTGAGCGTTATTAGACATCTTCTCTTTTCTAAGTGCTACTATGGCAGAGCTTGTTGAAATGAAGAGTGCAATGGCACAGATGCAAGAACAATTGAGGGAGTTAATGCTTGCGATGCATCAACTCAATTTACCACCACAAGGAGCAACAAGAATGGTAGGAAGTGAAGATATAGAGATGATTGGGGCTGCTTCAACATCTGCACCAAACCATGTCCCTTCTCCCAGAATGGAACACCCTTCGAGTGTTAGAGAACCGAGAGTTGCCTTGCCCGAGAAGTTTGATGGTACCAGATTCAAGTTTCGAGGATTCATCAATCAGGTCCAACTAGTGATTGAACTTCAACCCCAAAGCTATCCAACTCCAGGGTCACAAGTTAGATTCATTGGTACACTTCTTTCAGGTTCAGCATTGTCATGGTTTTCATCTTTTCTTGAACGACGAGATCCAATATTGGATAATCTGGAGGCTTTTTTGGCGGAGTTTCGATCCATGTTTGGAGAACATGATGCAATTCGTGTTGCAACCAACAAGATCCGTATTTTGCGACAAGGCAATCGATCAGTAACATTATATGCTTCGCAATTTCGACAACTTGCAACTGATATCAAGTGGGATGATGCCGCACTTGTGAGTCAATTTCTCTACGGATTACAATATGAGGTAAAGAAATTGATGCTTAATTTACCTGATCCTCAAACATTGAGTCAAGCAATTGACTTTGCTGTGAAGTGCGACAATCGACTTTTTGAATTTCGATCCGAGAGTTGCACAAGTGGGCCTCAACGTTACTACAATTCAATGGCAACACCGACGTCTCCTCAACACATACCTTCAGAAGTAGAGGATATGCAAATTGATGCGGTACGTTTCAAACCTCTTACTGAGCAAGAAAAGTCTCGTCGTCGACAAGAAGGATTGTGCTTATATTGTGGAGAACCTAAGCACACTGCTCAACATTGTCCAAAGAAGCGACGTAACTACAAAATGAGGAGTACGGCTGTCAAAGAAGACAGTATGTCAGAAAACGAATACGTCCAGCTATAATAGGGACCGTGCGGCTGGAATCTTGTACAACTTCTAATGAAGGTCCTATCCTCTCCTCAGAACCATCTCCTTGTTTTATAATAGATGTGCGTTTAGGACCTAATAATTACAAAGCCTCTGCCTTGGTAGATTCAGGAGCCTCATCTTGTTTTTTAGATGAAGAATTTGCTAGATGTCATAGAATATCATTAATACAAAAAACTAAACCTGTACACGTAGAAGTCATAGATGGTCGTCCGTTGTCTTCTGCCGATGTAACTCACGAAACACTTCCTGTAGATGTAGTAATAAATGGTCATAGTAGTTGCGTAATTTTTAATATAATTAGATCTCCCTCTAATCCAGTAATTTTAGGCTTATCATGGTTAGAAAAGTATAATCCTCGAATAGATTGGATTTCTCGTAAACTTGATTTTCCTCAGAGCATTAGTAACAGTTCTATTAATCAAGTAAAAAACCATGAGTCTAGTATAGTAAAACTCGCACTTATAGGTGCAAAAGCATTTATACACGCAGCAAAAGAAGGATCAACTTTTGCTATTTATGCTGCACCTATTTCTGAAAGCATAAAGACTTCAAGTGGCATTCCAAGTCAATATCAGGATTATCAAGACGTTTTTGAGAAAAAGAATGCAGATATTCTTCCTAAGCATCGCCCATACGATTGTTCAATCGATCTGAAGGAAGGAACTCAGCCACCATTTGGACCAATTTACAGTTTATCGCAAGATGAGATGGCTGAACTCAAGACATATATTGACGAGAATTTAGCGAAGAATTTCATACGCCATTCAAAATCTCCAGCAGGAGCTCCAATTTTATTCGTAAAGAAAAAAGATGGATCTTTACGAATGTGTGTTGACTATCGAGGACTCAACAAGATCACAATCAAGAACAGGTATCCATTACCTTTGATATCAGGACTCCTTGACCAGTTAAATCAAGCTAAGATCTATACAAAAATAGATCTAAGAGGAGCATATAATCTAGTACGGATCAAAGAAGGAGATGAATGGAAGACTGCGTTTCGAACCAGGTACGGGCATTTTGAATATAATGTCATGCCTTTTGGACTCACGAATGCACCAGCTGCTTTTCAACATCTCATGAATGATGTATTTCGTGAATTATTAGACAATTTTGTCGTCTGCTACCTAGACGATATCCTGATTTATTCTAAGAATGTTGAAGAACATGAAATACATGTTCGTCAAGTATTACAAAAACTCAGAGATGCAGGATTGTACGCCAAGATGGAAAAGTGTGTATTTCACACTACTCAAGTTGACTTTTTAGGATACATCATTTCAAATGATGGTCTTATGATGGATTCTAAGAAAGTTCAAACAATCATGGATTGGAAGATTCCAAAGACTGTAAGAGATGTCCAATGTTTCTTGGGATTTGCCAATTACTATCGGATCTTCATCAAAGATTTTTCACGAGTTGCAGCTCCACTTACACGCTTGACTAGTAAAGATAAATTCCAATGGAATCAAGAAGCGGAAGCAGCATTTGAAGCCTTGAAGACATCGTTTGTCTCTGCACCAGTCTTATATCGTGTTGACTTTTCCAAGGTATTTTTTATGGAAACAGACGCATCGGATTTTGCCTTGGGTGCAGTTTTATCACAAATGGGAACAGATGACAAACTTCATCCGATAGCTTTTCATTCAAGAAAATTCTCAACAGCCGAGATCAATTATGAGATCCACGATAAAGAACTTCTTGCAATCGTGGATTCCTTTCAAGAATGGCGTCATTATCTAGAAGGCGCTTCTAGTCCAGTCACTGTGTATACAGATCACAAGAACCTCGAGTATTTCATGTCAGCACGCGTGTTGAATCGTCGTCAAGCTCGTTGGAGTATGTCTTTGTCAAGATTCGACTTCATTATCACTTATCGGCCAGGAAAACAACAAGGTTTGTCCGATGCCCTGTCTAGACGTTCTTATTTTGCACCAAAAGAAGGAGATGCAGCTTTTGAGCAACAAAGAATGGTCCTCTTGAAACCGGAGCAATTTCATCTCCGAGCAGTGAAATCAACATTGACTGTTGATTCAACTTTTCTCAAGCAAATCCAGTCCAGTATGTCCTCAGACCCTCTTGTTCATGATATCGAGAATAATTCTTCCAAGTCTCATGATTCTTCTAAGTTCGAGTTCAAGAATAATCTATTATATTTTGATGGACGCCTATATGTTCCAGAAGGAAAAGCACGTTTGCGTGTTCTTCAAGCACATCATGACTTTCCAGCAGCAGGGCACTTTGGATATAATAAGACTCTGGAACTCATATCAAGAGATTTTTGGTGGCCACAAATGTGGAAGTCAGTCAAAGACTTTGTACAATCATGTGATATTTGTTCAAGATCAAAAATTCCTCGACATCGACCTTACGGACTTCTTCAGCCATTACCTATACCAGAACAACCATGGTCTTCTGTTTCTATGGATTTCATCACAGATCTTCCAAACTCAAGATCTTATGATTCTATATTTGTGATAGTAGATCGTTTCACCAAGATGGCACATTTTATGCCATGTACAAAATCTATCACAGGTGAAGAAACAGCTAAGCTTTTCATTGATAATATCTATCG